GGAAAAAAAGTCTGTATATACTACAGTACAGAGGTAGTTTTCTTTTGAATGTTTTCCATGTGCAGTTGGGTGAAGCTGCAGATGTGGAACCCAGGGATATGAAGGGCCCACTATGGAAAATTACAACCTCCTTGGGCTGGAGATAAAGCTCAGTGTTAGAATACTTGCCTAGTATAACTGAAGCCCTGGGTTGAATCCCTAGTACTACACACACGTACACACACGCACAAAAAAATCACGACCTTCATATTATTTATTATCAATGTTCTTTGCTTTATTTTTTCAATATCATTTATTGCCATCTGATATAATTCATACTTCCCTATTTATTTGTGTGTTTTCTTTCTCTCCTGTTAGAAGTAAGCTACACAGGGAAGATATTTTATTTCTGTTCACTAATGTATTCTTGGCACTTAGACATGTGCTTGGTATATAACAGGCATTCAGTAAATATCTGTTGAATGAAAAAATGAAAAACAAATTCTATATGCTAATGCAAGTAGTAGGATTAGAGGATGATCTTTTTAAAAATTATTTAAAAATATATGATAAAATACGCATAGAATTTACCATTTTAATAATTTCCAGTGTCCAGTTCAGGGGCATTAAATACATTTTTTATTATTGTACAACTGTCACCACCATCTCTGCCACAGAACATTTTTAATCTTGCAAAATTGAAACTCAGTACTCCATTTCTTCTTTATACACTAGGTTAATTCCTGAATTTCTTACAACAAACATTTATTATTATAACATCCAAAGGTCATTTCCAATTTGGGAACAGACTAATTGGAGATTTATATTCATTTTATAGAATGATAATTGAGAAAAGACTGTGTTCCTATTCCTTGAACAGATTAAGTGTGAAGCTGTCCAGCTTTAAAAATGATTCATTAAAGTGTTCCTCTGGGAACTTGAATATTCAGTACCAGCTGTTTTCCTTATTAATATTTGAATGTAATATTTTACCTTAGGAAATTCAATACCAAAGGAATAGTAAATATTTAACTACTTATTGTATTATTTTAATTTGTTAACAGTTTTTTTAACTAGACATTTTTTGATCAGTACCACTACTGCAGTTATGCAACATCATGATACACAGAAGGAAGACAGGAAAGTGGCATGAACTGAGAGCCTACTGGGTGTCAGGTGCTTTGCAGAGATGTAAAGTGGCCTCCATCTCCTCAGCTCCCACTCCCTTGGCAATATACTCCTAGCTGACTTTCACCATCTCCACGCTCTTGACAAGACCACCCATTGCTTCTGTGTCACTAAATCCTACTACATACTTTTCAGTCTTTATTCACTTGACCTCCAGCTGCAGTCAGCACAGATGACCACTCCCTTCTTATCCAATTCTTTTTTCCTTGCCAGCATTTGTATCTTTTGTTTTTTTGCTAATAGCCATTCAATCAGGTGATACCTCAGTGTTTTTTTTAATTTAATGGAGGATTAGTCATTTATTTGAATTTATTATTGTTATAAATATTAATTCATATCCATTGTGGTTTTGATTTGCATTTCCCTGATGATTAGTGATGTTGAGCATTTTTAAAATAGACCCGTTAGCCATTTGTAGGTCTTCTTTTGAGAAATGTTTATTCAGGCCAATTGCCTATTTTTAATAAAGTATTTTTTTTTGCCACTGAGTTTTTGGAGATTTTTATATATTGTAGATATTAACCCCTTGTCAAATGTGTAGTTTGCAAATATTTCCTCCATTCTGTATACTCTCTCTTTGCTTTATTGATTATTTCTTTTGGTGTATAGAAATTTTTTAGTCAAATTAAGATAATGTGGATTGGTGTATAGATTTTTTTAGTATGATGAAGAAAATGTGGTATACCTACATAATGGAATACTATTCAGCCATATTGAACATGAAAATATGTCATTTGTGGCAACTCGGATAGAACTGGAGACTATTATGTGCAGTGAAATAAATTAGGCAAGAAAGATAACACTGCATGATCTTACTCACAAGTGAAATCTGGAAAACACTGATCTCATAGAAGTTGGGCATGGAATCATGATTATCAAAGACTGGGGAGAGTAGGAAGGGGTTGGAAAAGGTTGGTCGATGGTATAATGTTAGTGTTTCATAGAAGGAATAAGTTCTGGTGTTCTATGGCATAGCAGGGTGGATATACTTAAGAATTATTCATTATATGTCTCAAAATAGAAGAGAGGAATTTGAATGTACTTATCATAAAGGAGTAATAAACTTTTGCAGTGATAGATATGCTAATCATTCCAAGTTAATCACTACTCAATGTATATGGTGAATGAAAACATCACACTGGGAGCTGAGGGTGTAGCTTAATAGTAGAGCATGTGCTCAGTAGGGAGAAGGCACCAGACAAACAACAAAATCACCCCCAAATCAAAACTATCACATCATACCTCATACACATGTATAAATATTATGTGTCAATTCAAATACAAAACAGAAAACTCCCTTTCCTTTGGTTTTTATTTTCTTTTTTTGTCAAATATTTTTTAGTTGTAGATGGACATAACACCTTTATTTTATTAATTAATTAACTAACTAATTAATTAATTAATTAATTTTTATGTGGTGCTGAGGATTGAACTCAGGGCCTCGCACGTGCTAGACGAATGCTCTACTGCTGAGCTACAATCCCAGTCCCTTCCTTTGGCTTTTCGTCAGTGTTTTTTGGTTCTACTTTCTAAATATTTTTATTATTTTTCCACTTCTGTCCCATTTCCACTGTCACCACCCAAACTAGTCTGACATCATTACCTCTTGCCTAGAATATACTCCAATAGAATCTTTACTGGCCTTTTTACTTCCAGTCCCCTCTACCCTGGATTTTTTCTTATACAACTGCCAATGCTTATCTCCAAATTATAATCACATCACTTTTTGGTTACACTCATAAATGAATTTTCTTTGCTCTGAAGTTCAGTATCCTTATTTTGATCTAAAGAGTTCTTTACCTTTATAGGTTCTTGCCTATCTTGCCAGACTCAGCTTGGGTCATTCTTTTTTTTATATAATATATTTTTTAGTTGTATATGGACACAATACCTTTGTTTGTTTATTTTTATGTGGTTCTGAAGATCAAACCCTGTGCCTCACACATGCTAGGTGAGCGCTCTACCACTGAGCCACAACCCCAGCCCTTGAGCCATTGTTTTTTTGATCTGTCTACTTGAGACTTCTTCAAGTTCCTTGAATAAGCCATACATTCTTTCACCTTTCAACCGTTGCACATGCTCTTCCCTCTGCTAAGAGCACTCTTTATTCATTTATACATTCAGTCAACAAATATTTATTGAATGTTTACGAGGTGCCATGCAGAGTTCTAGGTACTGGGGATATAGCAGTGAATAGATTTCTGTGTTTGTAGAGCTAGCATTCTAGAAAGAAGAGAGAGACAAAAAATGATGGACAGTAGTGTTTTAAACATTATTGTTTAGAAGGTGAAAAGTACTACAAAAAAAGTAGAGAGCAAAGTAAATGGGATTAAGTGTACAGAAGAGGGTGGGTGGCTTAAATTTTCAATGGGGAGACCAAGGTAAGCCTCACTGAGAGGGTCATATTTCAGCAAAAAATTGAAGGAGGTGAATGAATAAGCCATATCTGGGGAAAGAAAACTCTAGGGAGAAGAAGCAGGTAGTGTAATTCTGTGAGGGAGGTGGTGTGAGGAAAAACAAAGAGAGTGGTATGGCTGAGGAAAGTCAGCCAGAGCAAACACAATGGGAGATGGTGCCAAAGAGGCAGCTAGAAGCTAGATCATGAAGGGGCTGGTAGGCCCCCTCTGTGGAGTTCAGCTGTTTTTATAATGATATATGAAGCTATTGGAGGATTTTGAGCAAAGCAGTTACATGATCTAATTTCTTTTTATAAAAAGGCTCTTTGTCTGCTTTGTTGACATAGACTATAAGATGGAAGATGTGGGGGGAGGAGCCAGGAGACTGGCCAGGAGGTTATTATAGTCATCCAAATGAGAGATGAGGGTGGCTTGGGCCACAGGCATAGCAGTCAAGGTGCTAATGAAGGATTGGTTATGGATATATGATGACAGTACAACAGGATAAACTTGCTGGTTGGATAGAGAGTGTTTGCAGGGGCCCATCTTATATGTAAGATGTGAAACATGTAATTTGTGGAGACTTATGTCAAAAAAAGTAGAAAATAAAGTACAAAAGTATGTATTTAAAATGAGAAAAAAATATAACAATCAGACAGACTTTGTCAGGACAAGATGAGTCAGATACTCTAGAATAGGCTTCATAAAACATGACTTCTCATTGCTTGTCCTCCTGCTAAAAGTTCATGCCCTACAAAAGGATTGTGATCAATTCTATTTAATTTGATTCTCATAAAAAGGAGAGGATATACTACACTCATAATTAATTGTGTGTGTTGCATTGGCCCAGTATCTTCTTAACAGGAAAGAAATCCCACTTCTATCTTGGCATCTGTTGAGAGCCACAGCCGAAGGGGCCCCAGCAAACTTCCAGCTGCCGGCTGATGATTGGCTCACAGCGGCCCCAGCAACATCTAGCTGATTGGCTCCTCTGCGGTGATGCTCATTGGGCTGTTTCCCTGCCCTTTCAGACCACGGAGCTGCTCATTGGGGGACTTTTTTGGCTCCGCCCACGTGACCCAGCCAATCGGCCTCAAGAGCAGGAGGATTGTGGGAGGTGGAGAGAAGCTGGTGTGGGAGAGAGAGGCTTGTGGAAAGCCGGTGGTGGCAGTTGAGGCTCTGAGGGTTTTTCCTGAGAGGCTGTTTTGTTTGGCGTGTGTGGTTCTAAAAATAAAATTAGTTTCTTTTGACAAGTGGCTCCTGATTGTGCCCAGCCAGACTGCGGCATTCTTATGGTACATGTTTGGAATGAGGTGGTTGACTTATAAGTCTGTTTTGACTTAAGGTACTTTGGCATTAATCATTGATGTCTTGGATAAACACAATATTTTCAGTATAATAAGACAGACTGAGTCAGGAACCATACAGTAATTATTCATGTTTCTGTTTATACATAAAGTACAAGGCTATGAGGCAGATGAAAAGACTTATAATGATGCGCTTTTCCGATATAGTGGCACAGTAGGATTATGGAGAGGGTGTATCACTGTACCCAAAAACACACATTGGTATGCTCCACCAGAAAGGACAGAGTCATTTGATGTGGTGACAAAATGCATGAGTTTCACATTAAATGAGCAGTTCATGGAGAAATTTGTTGATCCTGGAAACCATAATAGTGGAATTGATCTACTTCGGACCTATCTTTGGCGGTGTCAGTTCCTTTTACCTTTTGTTAGTTTAGGTTTGATGTGCTTTGGGGCTTTGATTGGACTTTGTGCTTGTATATGCCGAAGCTTGTATCCCACAATTGCCACAGGCATTCTCCATCTCCTTGCAGGTTTGTGTACACTGGGCACAGTAAGTTGTTTCGTTGCTGGAATTAAACTACTCCACCAGAAACTAGAGCCGCCTGAGAATTTGTCTGGTGAATTTGGATGGTCATTCTGCCTGGCTTGCGTTTCTGCTCCTTTACAGTTCATGGCTTCTGCTCTGTTCATCTGGGCTGCTCACACCAACCGGAAAGAGTACACCTTAATGAAGGCATATTGCGTGGCATGAACAGACCTGCTTTACATTTGCCGTTTTAATATTTTTGATATCTATGTTTTCCCTTGCATCCCTCCCAAATGTTTTATTTTTTATTTTTTTGTGGATATACCATTTTATCCTGAAAATCCATTTTATTTAAATACACACACATGACTAAATATACAATAAATGCCACTAAAATTTATGTGGTTTACTCAGTGATTCCATTTCTCAAACTAATTTAGGTTCAAAATCTAGTCAGAAAGAAAGAGGCTTGACACAAATTTGTGACAGAAAATCTGCAATAGGAAATTGACCCAGAGCAAGTTCTGCTTATGTCTATTAAGACTTTTCACCAAACATACAGTAACTATCTGTTGAACCAGAAATAAATTTCTTTGGTAAACCTCTTATTGTCAGAACTTTGCTGTTGTAGATAGCCAGTCAGCCAGGCATATTATTGCTGTTTTAAAAAATTTAAGAGTTTCATAAAATTGGAAAATTATCTAAGATCCTTTTCTGTAAACTTTGGCACATAGCTTCATCTGAGGTGAAATATGGCAGCTGTCTATATTTACACCATGTCTGTCTACAAGAAAAGAAGTGAAAAATATAGTGTTTACTTGAAATTAAACTTTATAATTGCAAAAGTTCCAATTCAGTGAGATAAACGGGTTAATTTTACTTTATTGTATTACTGTTTTTTAAAACTCCTTTATAGGATTTTCAGTATCACCAACCATTTTTAATTTTTTTCTTTCTTCCACACCAGGCTTATTAAAAGAGTGCTTTCTTTTTAACATTGTTAGGATCACAGAGTAAGAAATTTCCCAACTGCTTTCTGTTTATTCCAGCTAAGTACCATAAAGAAGGTTCTACTATAAAGAGCCTACAGAGCTGGGAATACTACCACAAGATCTAAAGCTGTGGCTCTCAACAGGCATCAGTGGAAACCAAATCTTCTTCATATAATTCTGTATTCTGGAAGAATTTTCCAAGGACTAAATTCTGGCTGTGAACATTTCAAGCCTTGTATTGCCTCAACGATCTATATACCTACAGTGCCAAGTACCATAGGACAGAGTGATGTCACAGTATGACTTATGGTCGGTCCTGTATTGTTCCTTCATGACACCAGGTGAGTCAGCATAGTGGTCTCTAAGGAGTGTTCCAGGAAGCCAGTAGTTCACTGAATCAGCAGGCAGTATACAAGAAAGTGACTGCAAACCACTTAAAGGTATCATACCAAAGCACTGCTAAACATATCCCCAATTCAACTTCACCTAGACAGGATCCCCAAAATGTCTACAGTAACTTCAAAAGCACCTAACACTGGGTAAATGCGATGGAAAGATATTCAGAGTGGAAAGAGACAGTGGCTTTCGCTGATTGCTGCAAAAATATCTTACCTTTCCAAATTTTATAAAATTATATGACAATGTGAACACATTCCTAGAGATCTTTCCAGGGCCATGGAATGTGAGGGCACTGAAACTAAAACTACATTAGCTTTAAGTAAAGCTGACACTGGATATGGGATATGACAGAAAAAGGCATTAAGGATGATTCCAGAGCTTTGGACCTGAGGAACAGGAAAGGGATGAGATTGCCATTATGGAGATGGCCAAGACTGCAGAGGAGCAGGTTGGTTAAGTGGAGGGAGCAGCGAGGGGAAGAATTAAGAATTCAGCTTGACTAGAGTAAGATAAAGGAAAGAAGAAAGGGAGAGTAAAGAAACAGGGAAGATTGGTAGTGCAGAAGGAGATGGAGAGGGAGAGAGGAAGGAAGGTAAAGTGGAGGAAAGGTAGATGAATTCTTTAAAAAAATCACGTTATGTGCATATATAAATATGTACATAACAGGGAATTTTGCCTTTATGTATAAGTAGAAAGAATTAACCAAAATAAATAAATAGATAAACCAAAGGAAGACTGTAGGGTAGAGGAAGGATAATAGGGGTGGGGGTGGGATCATGGGGAACTGAAATCAAATTCCATGCATGCATGATTTTGTCAGTATGAACCTAACTATTCACATAACTATACTGCTCAAATGAAAAATTTTTAAAAAAGAAATAAAATATTCAAAAAAAGAGTTCAGCCTGACCGTGGTAAGTTGAGATGCCTATCGGAAGGCCAAGCAGGGATGTCAAAGAGCTCTTCTTACCGTTCTTTTTCTGGCCTACTCCTGCTCATCTGTTCACAGCTAAGTGTCACTCCTTATCTGGGACTCACTGCACAAGATCAGGGCCCCTGTTACACACACAGCAGTACCCTGTACCTCTCCTTTCATGAGACTCTGTACCCCTGTGATGATGTTTTAAATGGTTGTCTCTCCTGCACTACACTAGACCAAGCTGGACTACACTAGACAAATGCTGCTGCTATCCCTAATGTGTAATACCAGCAGGCAGCAGGGAGGTCCTCAAGGAATATGCTGGACATGTTGCTCAGTGGTAGAGTACTTGCCTAGTGTTATGGTTTAGATGTGATGTCCCCTGAAAGCTCATTTGTGAGACAATGCAAGAAGTTTGGAGGGGAAATGATTGGGTTATACCTTTTATCTTAGTCAGTGAATTAATCCCTATGGGATTAACTGAGTGGTAGGGTGTGGCTGGAGGAGGTGAGAATTGGGGCATGGCTTGGGGGTTTATATTTGTATCTGGAGAGTGGAGTCTCTCTCTGCTTCTTGATCACTATGATGTGAGCTGCTTCCCTCTGCCACACACCCCGCCATGATGTTCAGCCTCATCTTGAGCCTGAGAAATGTAGCCAGCCTTCTATGGACTAAGACCTCTGAAACTGTGAGCCCTCAAATAAACTTGTCCTCCTCTAAAATTGTTCTGGTGAGATCCTTTAGTCACAGCAGCGAAAAAGCTAAGTGTAGGCCCTTGGCTCCATCCTAAGTATCATAAAAAGAAAGAAAAAAAAGGCAGGAAGGGAAAGAGGAAGGAAGGAAGGAAGGAAGGAAGGGAGGGAGGGAGGGAGGGAGGGAGGAAGGAAAGAAAGAAAATAAATATTTGTTGAATAAATTGAGAAGTCAACTAACTTATCCAACTTATGACCAGAAAATGGTCAAGCTAAGATTCACAAGGGCATATATTTTTTCAGCATTTTACAAAACAAACTACAGAAAAGTACACAAAACATCAATGGATTATTTCAAACTGAGCATATAGTTGACTTTCTGTAACCATGGGTTCCATATTCACATTCAATTAACTGCAGATCTAAAGTACTTGGGGAAAGAAATTGCATCTGTACTGTACATATACAGACTTTTTCATGTCATTATCCCATAAAGAATGAAATATAACAACTATTTGCCTGCATTTATATAGTATTAGGCTGTGTAAATTAATCTAGAGTTGAGTTAAAGTATACAGGAAGATTCACATATGCAAACACTATGTCATTTCCCCCTGGTAGTGGGGATTGAACCCAGGGATTCTTTATACTGAGCCACATTCTGAGTCTCCCCCTTTTTTAATAATTTTTTTTAATCTTTATTTTATTTTATTTACTTTTATGTGGTGCTGAGGATCAAACCCAGTGCCTCACACATGCCAGGCAAGCGCTCAACCATTGAGCTACAACCCCAGCCCCCAGTCCCACCTTTTTTTTTTTTTTTTTTTTAAAGAAAAGGGTCTTACTAAGTTTAGGGCCTTGCTAAGTTTCTGAGGCTGGCCTCAAACTCAAACTTTTAGTCCTCCTGCCTCAGCCTCCCAAGTCTCTGGGATTACAGGTATGCACTCCTGTGCCTGACTCTATGTTATTTAAAAATTTTTTTTTTTTTTAGTTTTCGGCGGACATATCTTTGTTTGTATGTGGTGCTGAGGGTCGAACCCGGGCCGCATGCATGCCGGATGAGCGTGCTACCGCTTGAGCCACATCCCCAGCCCAATATGTTATTTTATTTAAGGGATTTGAGCATCTACAAATTTTGGCATCCTTGGGCAACTCTAGAACCAATTCCTTACAGGAAATGAGGGACAAACTGCCTTCATGCAACTAGCACTCAGACTAAATAATAGAAATTAGTAGCATCCTAGAAACCCCATCAGGCCTCTCATCTAAGACACTACCCATCTTGGCTGGGTGCAGTGGCACATGCCTGTAATGTCAGCAACTCAGGAGACTGAGGCAGGAGGATTGTAAGTTGGAGGTCAGCCTCAGCAACTTATTGAGCTCTAAGCAACTTAGTGAGAACCTGTCTTTAAATAAAACATAAAAAAGGTTGGGGTTGTGGCTGAGTGGTAAAGCACCTCTGGCTTCAATCCCCAGTACCCCAATGAAATGAATCAGTCAACCAATCAATTAAAAAAATTGCCCCAAACTAATTGCCATCTTGATTTATAACACCAACAAATTAGTTTTCATGTGTTTGAACTTTGTGTAAGTGGAATACAACAATATGCGTGTGTGTGTGTGTGTGTGTGTGTGTGTGTGGTGCATTTTGCTCTATGTTAGTGCAATTTTTCAAAATGTTGGTAGAAGTAGTTGCCTATTTTCATTGCTGTATAGCAAGGTCTCAATTTTTTTGTCTCAGGACCCCTTTATACTTGTAGAAATTATTGAGGAACCCAAATAAATTTTTCTTATGTGATTATGCCTACTGATATTTACAGTGTTAGAAATTAACACTGAGAAATATTAGAATTATTTATAAATTAAGTAAACATCCATTACACATTAATATAAATAAAATATTTTAATGAAAACAATCATATTTACTGCATTTTCCAAAACAAAAAAAAATAGTAATAAATGTGGCACTGAGTATGAACTAGAGTGTTGATAAATGTGTCAGGATGCTGACATTATATGCAGCTGGAAGGGCCCAGCTTCTAGAAGTTTTAGCCAAACCCCAGAAAGGCATGAGTATTATGGCAGGGGGAGGTACAAGGATGGAGAGAACACACAGTCCCATCATCTTTGAGTTGCATGCTTCAAAAAGCAACAGGTATAAATTAGCATTCCAAGGAGACATGACATTAGAACATTGGGAGATACCAATAAATCCAGTAAATATGAATGCATGATTTGATGACAAAAAAATTGAGTAGGAAAAGAAGAGGAAGGAGTGTTCTACTAGGCAACTGGTGAAAGGAAGGGTGACATAAAGCAAATATGTATTTGTTTGGAAGGCAAAAGACCCACTTTTCAGGGTAATTTACAAACTCCTTAGAGTGGCATTCATTGCTCC